CGTGAATTGTCAGTGTAAACTGCCCCAACTTCGTCCTTGTGGGATAAGAAGTGGTTGAAAGCATTGACACATGACTCACTCGATTTTGTCTGACTTGGATAGACGTGTCTGAACTGAGTGTGAATGTCCTTCATCACCAATGCCACTGTTTCACCTTTGACGCCTTCTTCCACATTGGATTTGATTACAGTATGGTCAGCGACAATGTGATCCCCAAAGCTTTTGGTTTCCAACCTTTTCTGTCCCCCTTTCTTCTTTGCGGGTGGCGCCATCATGCGCGCCTTCTGACAGATTTTGCAAAATGGATTCTTGGGGTAATGGCAAAACTGGTGAGATTTGCTGCATGCCTCTTGCTCAAGGTCAGATGCCTTTCTAGACCTGACGTACTCGGTTTCACTATCATGAGCTACTCCCTCATCCACGCCTTCTTCCTCGGCACCTTCTGCTTTTGCAGCAACCATTGCAAAGAGACGTAACAGATCACAATCTTTCTTGAACTGTCCACTGTTCAAAACACGACAAGAGCTATCAATGACCGGCACACGGCCGTCTACGTTGAGCTCAATGACTCCCATATCCGGACGAATGAAGTAAGGCCTACCATCAGCTGGCCACACAAAACTGTAACCTTGTTCCATACACCTGACACCAACCGAAAGAACAGCAGGAGTTTCTTCGAGGATGTATGGTGAGAATGGCTGATGTAGGGCATCGACTTTTACGTCGGCCACCTCATCCGCTCGTGTCGAACCGTTCGCTGTAGCAAGGCTGATTGAGGTATCACTGACACGGCGGTTTGTCGCCTTTGCAGTCTTCAGCATACCCTCACTAATCAAATCCTGTTCACTGCCCGAGTCAACCAACCAAACACATCCATCTTTTGATGCCGGTGTAGCAACAGTGGGCAAATGAGTGTTACTAACTTTGTTCTTGGGACCGATCATTGCTCTACAGTGATTGCATGATACTCCCCCTTCTGGGTCATTGCATCGGAATCGGCACTTGGGCTGCGTCTCACTGCCGAAGAGCTTCACAAGTTCCTGCAACTGTCGGGCCGAAACCTGAGCACGGTGAGCCACGAGTTTGTCGGGTTTTGGCACTGACTCTGAATCAGGGAACGTCTTCTCATAGATTCGGGGTTTGTGCACTACCTTCCTCTGTTCACCTGTTGCTGGGACTTTGATGTATTCCACTTTTGATGAAAACACAATAGCTCTATGGCATTGTTCTTTCATGGCCTTTGTAGCTTTCGGCAACCCTTTTCCCTTTGCTATGCATGCATACCTTTGAGTAATGCATGGCGCAGCTTTTGCACTGGCCTTCTTCTTTGGTGCAGGGCTATTGGTGCGTTTTGGATCCTTTGTGGGTGCAGCTGCAACTTCATGTTGATAAAAACACTTGTCACCACGACGACATTTGCCCTGTTGGAAGTAAGTGCATGGGATCTTGGCCATCTCTTCCTTTGACTTTCTGTTGGGGGAACCACTTCTGCTACCGCCTTTGCCCTTACCTTTCTTTTTGGGAGTGCCAGATCTTGAGGAATCCTTGACATGCTTGTAGGGACAGTCTTTACCCTTTTCGCACTTGCCATCCCTGAACTTGTAACATATCTTATCCCCTTTTCCACTCTGGCTACGACCACGGGATCGACCTCGATCACCCTTTCCTTTGCCGCGATCTTTGCCCCCCTGAGCGGGTGCAGCGGGCTGAGGCTTTTCGGTCTGCTTGTTCTTTTCAACGATTCTGTTTCTGTTTGAACGGAGTCTTTCTCTATCCAAAAGATCACGAATGTTTCTCAACAAGAATGCATAAGACTTTTGTTCTGACTTTTCAGGAGCTCTGTCAAATGCTTCAATGTCATACTTCATCAATTGACATTTTCGGATTTGTCTGAGTAAGATGTCTCTGAGAACCAAATCATCTGGCGGGGTTTCCATGCCGGCAATTGTGGCGTCCCATCGGTTCAAAAACCTTCTAAGGTCCTCCACAGATTCTCCAGTGCGAACGACTCCAAGTAGGTCCTCGACGCGGTAGAGACTGCCAGCTTCCTCAGACGTCCTGAAGTAATCTTCAAACATCAAAAGGACTCTCCTACCTCTGACTTGGATCCCTTTCTTTGACTTCTCATCTTTGAAGTTATGGATCTTCGTTGCTAAATCACCTTTGGCCGAGCGAGTTAACGCTGCCGACAATTTGGTGTCAAGTGTGATAAATTTCCCAGGTTCCTGCAGCTTTTCCTCCAACTTTTCCCTAGGGGTTTTGTTGTCAAAGACTTCATTGAGCCAAAGCCAAGCCTCATCGGGTTTGTCGGAGCACGACTTCACTTCATCCCTGACATGATTACGCCAGTGACGATATGCTTCTGGGGCAGGCATGTCGTTCAGTTTGATAGTCTCTGCCTCCTTTGTTCGGGGCTTTTCACCATCTGAATCCTTTGAAGTCAGTCTAGTGATGAGATCTAGCAATTGTTGACCTGAAAGACCTAAGCCTGCTTCAGCTGCTTTCTTGCCAGGGTCGCTTGCAATTACTGTAGGACTGGGCACACTATGTTCTTGGTTTGCATCATCATCATTTTGTCTTTGAACTGGCAATGGTGGCAGTTCTGGAGGGGCTGCTGATCCGGCAGGGGTAGTTGAGAACAAATTGCTCAACCTTTCCTTTGCGTCCATGGCTAAGCTACTCATACCAGTGTTTGGCATGGGTTCTGCTCCAGCCTCGGTACCGACCGCTGATTTTGGGGTCATGTACAAATCGACATTGTTCCCGCCTTGTGTATCATCAACTTCGACGGCTCTGTCGACATTGATTTCCGGGGCGCTGTACTTGTTGAGCTTCTCCATCAAATCCTCCACTTGTCCCTGCAATTGGAAGTTGAGTTCAGCAGCTTGGTTTTCCTGCCTACTGCATTCCTCTCTAATCTCCTGGATTACAGCTTGTTCCTCCTTCTTGAAACCTTCCATGCCATTCTTTGCATACTCCACTGTTTCGTCCACGATTCGTTTACAGTCTGCCTCGAGGCTACCTCTGAGTTCAGAAAACCTTTGTTCGTACTGGGCTGTAACATGGGCTACCTTTTGGTTGGCTCTTTGTTCAGCTTCCAGTGCAACTGCGTTTGCAGCATTCTTTAGCTTTGCGTTTGCATCGCTAAGTTCCTGTCTCAGTTTTGCTACCTCATGCTCAGTTGCCGTTTGGGACATTGAATACTCTGACACTAGGTGCTCATGTCTACGGTCAGCTTCTGCACGTTGATGGGCGATTTCGCTAAGGCAAATTCCCTCAAACTCTTGGTACAGTTGCTGGACCTTTTGTTCCATGAGATGTGTGTGCCTCTCCTCTGCCTCTTGCCTGAAAGCATCAATGTTACCTTCGTTGATGTAGGTAAGATTGTTCTGCACGAACTGGAAATAGGCTTGCACTGGCTGTGTGAAGAAACCTTCATCCACTGACATGGGCGTGGGGTTTGTCCCAGCCGGCAAGCTCTGTTGAGAACCAGTTGATGCAGCTACAGTTCCGGTCAAAGGGACAAGGGCACCTCCACCTGTAGCGTCATGCGTTTTGTCCATGGCTTTAGAGACTACGGCTGATAACCTGTATTTTCAGGTTTCAGCAGGGGTAATTCCTATTACACCCAAATAGACTGATAAACCTAAAACAGGGGAATGAAACCGTTAAGCACGCGACTCAAGCTACTTTTTATCCTGAGCCGCACAGCTAGTCAGCATGCTATGATACACCTATGTTTTATGTGGGATGCAAATACAATTTAGAAGCCCCCTTTGATAGCAAAACGTACTAATATTAAACTTTTCCCCCCAGGTTTACTCAAAATGGACCAGCATTTCGTGAAATGGTGGGCTAAGTTGGCCTGGTCACCAGTTTCATGGTTGCGGCCTCTGGTTCATGTCACAAACCTGTGGACAATTTTGAAAACCAAAACATGATCACAATGAACCCGTTCTTTGGCACAACCGAAAACAACCTGGGAAAACTATGTTTTTGTTGTTTTGATTCATTTTGATTCCGTTTTTCTCTGTCGCCTGCACCATGAATATAAATTTCAAATTCATCTATGAGAACAATGGCCACACAAAAGAATCAACCGACTACACTTGCCATCGTCACAAGATGGATGGTCTTCCCGTTTTTGCAAGTAGGGCAGTTTGACATGTTTCGTTTCACGTTGTTTTTGAAGTAACTGTTATTGATTGTCACCATGTTTGTGGAAATTGCTGACCCCTTTTTTTCAGAAGTTGTGCCAGAAAAAAAACAAATTGGCTGACGAGGTCTTCGATTTCCCTGCCCTGCAAACCAGTTTCGAGCGGCATCGCCTGTTTCACATTATCAGTTGGGACATCATCCATGGCTCATAAGCGTTGCAGCGTTGCATTCCGCATCGCGGAAAAATGCATTTGAGGCAAGAAGTAAGGGAATGTGCGCCCACAAAAAAATGCGGACTCTGCTGGATGCCAATTTCACGGCGGGAACAATATCACATATTCATAAATCACAACAGGGCTGCGGCATGCAAGGGATGGGCACACGCACGCACGCACACACACACATATATATATAATATTAAAATAGATGCATGTGTCAATGTCCAAAAAACATTCCACCAGTCCTCGTAATGGCATTTACAAGGACAATAGCATGTGTCTGTTTCATAATATGAAACCGCTTGCCCCAACCACGGTGTGAGATTATGGTGATGTTTCTCCAGGCAACACAAGCATTTCGAATTTCCCACGGCCAGAACCATGACGGCTGCATAGTGAAATAATATGAAAACAATTGCATTAATTCAATAAATTTGAAGAGAAACACTAAATGCAGATTGCCCGCGTAGAATCCGCATGAATCCACAAATTCGCCCAGGTCTTCTACTTGAAATTTAGACGCGAAGAAATGTCCATGGACCAAAGGCATCACGAGAACCAGCCGGTATTATAACTGGCTCAGAGAAATCAACTAATGAGCAATCCCAGGCTTCATGTCCCTGCCTCAACGCCGTCGCCCAATGCATCAATGCAAATCAGTTGCAGCCTCGGAAATGCCAAATGATCCACCTTGCATCCCCGGGGCAGCCACGGTTGTGTTGTTTGATGATTCCCGTCCCGTGCATATAGATATTTATTTAATATTTATTTATGTATTTATTTATCTTATCTACTTATCTTATGTGTCTATCTGTCTATCTATCTATCGATCGATCTGCCGATCTATCGATCTATCGATCTGTCTCTATCTCTATCTCTATCTCTGTCTCTGTCTCTGTCTCTGTCTCTGGCTCTCTCTCTCTCTCTCTCCCTCCCTCGCTCTCTCTCTCTCTCTCTCTCTCTCTCTCCTTACCTCCCTCCTTCCTCCTCTTGCTCTCGTTCTGTCACTATGGGCACAAATGCGCAATGACAACATGTGATTTGCGCGCACTAATGCCTAAGTTTCAATCTATCGATCGATCGATCTATCTACCTGTCTGTCGAAACCATCCTATAAATCTGCATTAGCATGTGTGTACACATACATATTAACCACTAAGTGACTAAGTTTTCCTGGCCAGTCCACGACCTCTCCATGGCTCTGCCAAAACAGACAATTCGTCAGCGGATTGGCTGCCGCAAGTTCTCGGGCCAAGGGGCGCTTTCCAAATTTCGGCTTTTTTACTCTGATCCTCTTTGCCAGGAAGCACCTGGCAGCTATCCAGAAGCCGGCGTGCATTCTTGTGCCACTAAGGTCCAACTGCAAAGGGCGACGGCCGAGCTCCCTACAGCCCTAGGGTACGCCATATCCTTACCCTAGGGTACGCCATATACAAATTACAGATCTGTCTGTTGTCTATGGCATTATGGCAGGATGCGGCAATCACAGCTCAGTGATGTTACAAATTGAGGTGGGGTTGTGTCTGCAACAAAAAAGATTGATGAGCACAGCGCAAAGGATTCCAGTCGAGGGAGTTCAGCACGTAACTCAACTTGTCTTGGGGAAACCAACGTGTCGTTTTTGCCAAATAGTTTCGCACATTTTTTCTTCTTGAGCAGACACATCGATGGAGAACGGTTCACCAAAAAAAATGTTAACAAGGAAAGGCAGTGCATCATGCATGCGCAGTATGCCACATGTTTCCAGGAAGGCGGTCTAAACGTATAAAACAAATGCCAACTATCCACATGTCTGGGCCGCCATCCTTAGTGTGACAAAGGGTTCGCTTCATCCCCATGGATTGGAAAACCCCCTGCAACAAAGGTAACGCTGAGAATTTGAAGGCAGTCTGCCTGTGGCATTCTTGGCACATTACATAGAGTAAGAAACTGCAGGCGTATCATTTGGCCAAGAATTCAGCTGCTATGCCAGGAAAAAGGTTAATGATGACCGCAAAAGTTATCAGGCGTTCCTAAACATGCACATGGCTCAGTGTAAACCCCTCATGGCGAAGCAATGTAAATCAATCGGTCAAAAGTGGGCAGGGGTAAAATCAATTCGAATATCGATGAAACTCTTCTGGCAAAATATGAGCAAAAAATAACGAAAGGATCTTTGCGAAGACCTCCTGTGCTGGGCAGTGTTGTGGGTTGATAACACATGGATTTGAGAATCCCTCTGTGTGTTTTTTGCCCTCCCCAGGCGCACGCACATACGTATATGGGGTAGATACATAAGAGTGCACAAAATATACGTTACCAGATATTGCCCGGCACGCGCCGGGGCGGAAGTTCGAAAATAGGAGAGAGCTACTCCCTCCCCCCTTAGCTAAAGTTAGGTGACGGCCAAAAGTGACTTGTAGCACTTGCAAAAAGTTACAACAAGTTACGCGGAGTTATGCTGATTTAACTTGAATTTAGCTGGAAACAGATTCATTTGGTTTTGTATTTACACAGAACCAAAGTTATCTAAACCAAACATATAAAGAGTAATATATGTGTGTTTCTGAAATTATCTTTAAAATATAGTTTTTCCAGAAAAATGAACTCCATTTTGTAACAAGGAATAAAAGCATAAAAACACAAAGATAATAAGGCAAAAATAAGTTTAGGAAAAAATGGATAGAGACAAAGTAAAGAGGTATGCCTTTTTTACAGAAGAAAAACATAGCAAAAAAATGAAATCAAGCCAGACATAATTTTGACGGGCTGTAAAAAGAAAACAAAGTCTGTAATCTGCTGATTTATACTAAATTCGAAAAAGTCTAATATCAAAACAACATGAAAGATCTGGAAAAAACTGAAAGCCAGATAAAGCTGGAAAGCTAAAATAAAATAACACTTTTTCTGAGAAATATTATAAATCAAATTTCGGTTAAAATTGTAAAACAAATATATAGCAAATAACTAAATTATTAAAAACATAGAATCTGGAAATAAAAAACAGAATTTATATTGAACAAATAAAGAAATCAGATAAAGTCTTTGTAGTTGAAAAAACCTGAAAACATCATATATAATTTGAAAAAATCAGGCAAAAAAATGCAAAGAAACAACTAAAAAAAATGAAGTGCAAACCGAACTCTCGCTACAGTCTCGTGCACATTTTGCCAACCAAGTCTTCCAAAAGTGCACCGAACATGATGCCAGTTTTTTAACACTTTGAAGTGGAAATCGAGCTCTCGCTACAGTCCTGTTCACTTTCTGTCAACAACTTTTGCAGATCGAGGCCCGCACAAACGGAAACAGGGACCCTACCTACTTCGGCCCCGGGAGCCACATTTCCGAAAAATCACAGGGTTTCGCTCCCAAGCGTGTTTTGACCAATTCAGGCGTTTCCGAGCTGTTGCTCTGTTCTTGCTATGTGGTTGACATGATGACAGGACTGCCCTTGGGCATTCGTCCGTGATTCGGAAGTTTTCCAACTAAACTTCCTTTGAATATATTCACATATGGAAATATATTACACGCACCTACATCCATATGAAAAAAGTAATATGCATATGCCAAAAAGATCCAAAAAGAATAATCGTATGTATACTATATTTAAAAAATGATACCAGTGTTCATGTAACAATTTTATTTTGGAAACATATGGATATATGTATACATATAAGCACATCATGCAACCATGTACAAATATAAATATATATATATATACATACACATATCTATATTGTGAAAGCAAGTTTTGAAGACATGAACCCATGTGCATATAATATGCAAATGTACATGCAAAAAACGTGTATATATATACATACAGTATTTCAATGTTATACGCATTTAGAAACACACACACATGCCGATATCTTCACATAGATCAACAAATGCCATGATATGGTGACATTATTGACACCTGTATTAATTTAAAATCTTAAATGATGGATGGAACAAACATTGTTTTGAGCTGGAAATGACGTCCCTCCATCTGCTGCTGCATGTTCGCCATCAACACTTCATTGACCAACAGCTCAATCCCAAACGGACTCCATGCCGGGACAAACCTGAGTTCATAGACCCGTATACCCTCATAAATGCCCAAGATGCCTTGTTGCTATCCCATCAGCTTCCAATAGATAATTAATCCAATTTTACAGGGTTTATCCAAGTCCTATAAAATCAGATTGGACTGTCAGTCAGCTGCACCTGCAAAGCTAAGGCTTCTAGCTCTTCATTGAGATCTGCCTGACTGACATAGAAACCCGGCTGCCTTTCACATGTGGGGGGTTCCATAAATGGGGGTACCTCAATAGCTGGCTGGTTGTTTCTGTGCAAGGGCTTTGCTAATGTTATCAGTGTCAATCAATGCGCCGGCCAGCATGTCAACACAAATGTCAGTGAGCATGTGACAGACCTGTATGTGTGTAGAATCTAGGTGATATGTTGGCACATATGGCACAACAAATATCAGCTGATGGGTCAGCGCAAACGACAATTGTTCCAAATATGTATCACATCGAGGTTTCCAAAATATGGTGGTACCCCCAAATCATCAATTTTAATTGATCGTCCATTTTAAACCATCGGGCGAAGGAAGAGACGAGAAAAGCAAGGTACGTCTATCATTTATGCAACTGACAAGTCGTCCGGGTACATCACAGGTTGGTGTTATTTGGTGTTTCAGAGCAAGCCTGCGTCACTGTGCTTTACAGTTGCAACGATTTGAATGCACAAGGTATATATATATATATACAGTAATTATATAAGTATACAATTTTCATGGTGAATTCCCGATTTCCTTTGGTTAGATCTCTATAATGTTGCATCCTGATTAGTGTCTAGGTTCGCAAGTGTGCCAAAAAACATCCAAATTATTCAGGGCCCCAGCAATGTTTGGTACGAGTAGATTCGCTATTGTGCCAAGAAATCTTGGGAGACAATTGTTTTTTCGTCAAAAAAAATGTGTAAAAAAAACTGATCATTTTTTTCTGAAAGAAAAGATGCTTGTTTCCCTGTCCCAAGAGAATCAAACCGCTCATCAAACCCTTATTGGAGAACAGTTTTTCCACACATATCCAAGGCACTGGGCCATGTGAGGGTCCATTTCACTTTAGTAGGTCTGTTCTCAGGGTTCACAATTGCAGCATTTTTATCCAGAACATTTTACATGTTTTTCTCTTTATCTTCCTCTTCCTCGTCCTGTTTCTTTTCTTTTTCCTCTTCCTCTTCCTCTTCCTGTTTCTCTTCTTTTTCCTCTTCCTCTTCATCATCCTCTTTATCTTCTTCTTCCTCTTCCTCTTCCACTCTCTCTCTCTATTGCTCTTTCTCTTTCTCTCTTTCCCTTTATCTTTTTCTGTTTCTTTCTCTTATTACACTTTGAATAAAACAATTAAACAGGCGACGCAATCAACATGCAACAAGGTACTACAAGTACTACAAGTACTACAAGTACTACAAATGTCACAAGTTCATCAGCAAGAAAACAGTTAATTAGATTTCAACTGTCGCCATGTGAAATCATTTCTTAAATGCGGGATCGTATTTTTTCTGGCGAGGAGTTTTTTGACACCCAGCTTTAAAGAGGCTACAGCTATTGTTTGAGGGGAAGGGGTACACACAAATCAGGACGAAACATTATGTCTTAGTCAAATCTGAATGTTTGGTTGGTTACCCTCTGGTAAACTAACACAACTATGGAAAATCACCATCTTCAATATCTTTAATGATAATGGGTAAATCAACTATTTCAATGGCCATCTTCAATAGCAAACTGTTGACATAACCAGAGGGTAAATCGCACAATGTCTGGTCAACTCCATCCATCCACCTCCGCACTTTGCTCGGGCTTCGGCGCGAGGCTTCGCCGGCTTCGCGTTGCCGGCGGCGCGGGGAATCCCGTGTTGCCGGCAATCTCAGGGGCCTGCGACGTCTGCGTCCCCATTGAAACAATGGTGAAACCAACGATCTTAGGTAATAATGCTTACTAATGGTGAAAAATGATTATAATGGTTAATAATGGATAGTACTATAATTTTACTACAATGGTAAGATTGGAAAATATTAATGGCTGATATTGATACCCGAAATCATGCATAATCATTAATACTTAGCGATTCTTAGTGATAATTGACATGTGTTCTATCATTATTCACCAACCTTAATAATTGATTGATAACACTGGTGAATATCACAATGGCTAATAATGATAATAATCTGAGGTAATAATGATCCAGGAAACCAACACTGATAATGTTTAATCATGGTAGCGTAACGTAACCAACCATATATAGTAAACTTTTATGTTTTCCCTAACTAAACCCAATGATCAACATAAATGGGCGCTTTCAACGATCCCTAAATACTAGGTGTATTATTGGTTTTCCCACATTAATATATGTTCTTGTTTTTTTGAATGGGATGGATGCTATATAATCTATAAATCTGTATTGCTCAACAATTGCTGATTTCAAACAATTTCACCAATCAAAATGGGGATTATATAACCTGGACAAACATCATTCGATACGACGTGGTGGTTATACAGTGGTTTGGTAGCGATTAAGCCCCACAGGTCAATACCTATGATACCCAAGAGGGGCGGGTAGCATCCATACACCAGCGCTTGGGGGGAAACATATCATATCATGTATGCTATGTTATATACCATGCTAATCCATGTTCAAGATGTTACATACCATGCTTTATACCAGGTTGAATACCATCTGTACCATGTTATATACCACATAAAGTTACATATATATATATACATAAATACATGCACGCATACACATATATACATATAATATACATCATGTTATATACCATGTATACCATGCTATATACTTTTTTTTTCCTTTGACCATGTTTAAATCATTTTTTCATCTCCCTTCTCCGCCCTTCCCCGCGCACCTTCCGCAGCTTCAGCTTGGCCTTGCGGCCGAAGGCCGCCAGCGCAGTGGCTGTTCCACCCAGCCCCAGAAGGAGCGCCAGCAGTGCCGCGGCCAGGGGAAGCGGCCGGGACGGCGACGCCATGGCTGCTGTCACCACATGGCGACATGCTGAACGGCAAATGGAAACAAATGGAAACGACTAAAACCAACTAAAGATTGCAAATGAGAGGAAAAGGATAAGAAGGAAAAGTATGCGCGTCTTGATGATATGTATATACATATCATAGATTAAGGACAATTGGCATGTCGCTCGACGTTATTCACAGCCTCCGACCAAGAGGCAACATGGTGTTGGCAAGCTCTCCTTTTGATGATTAACACTTTGGACGTTGCAATGTAATGCAATGTGAGTCATCGGATTCTGGTATATCAATAGTTTTTCTCAATGGCCAAATGGTAAAATGGAGTCAGTTTATCTGTAGATAGAGACATTGTGACATTCATTGATCAAGGGAGAGGCTCTATATTGCTTGGGCTTGTTTGGTGAGGTAGTGCAGCAAATGGATGCAAATGGAAGCTTTCTATCAACAATCATGGATTTGCAAAAGGAATGCCAGAAAAATAACACATACTCCATAAAGAGTTCCCAAGTCTTGATATGTTCCCAATCTGAAATCCACTACTGTAGTGGATTTCAGATTGGGAAACTATTTAAAAAAAAAACACCTTCCGCAAAACCATGCTAATCACCATGTATTTTCTGTGCGCATTGGTTGACACATCTTGATGCGAGTTGCAACCACCATGGGACCATTCTTGTCAGATAGCCAACTCACTTATCCAACTTGGTGTCCGAAACAGGGAGGCAAGGAAGTTCAACCGGATTTTGCTGGGCGAAATCCCAGCTCTAGTGGATTAACTCACCATTTGAGTTGCCTACTGGGGATGGATGCGAAATCCTGTACCAGTTGGTACCAGTTGGTAACTATGAGACATTGTAAATAATGGGATAATCATGGGATACACCATCTACCAACAGTATGATTATCCCATTATTTACAGTATGATGGTTTATCCCATGTTAATCCCATTATTATTGGATGGTTTATCCCATGATAATCCTATGATTTCTTCTCTCCACGCTATGATTCCGATGTGAATTGACTACGTGAATCACAGCCCCAGCTGCCGGTAGCAGGGACCGAATCCCCACAGCGCGAGAAAAGTGAAGGGCCCCAAGACTGCCTGGCGCAAGCGCCAGGGCCGGTGACAAGCGCAAACGGGGGTGATCAAAAAGTAATGTCAACGGCGGATATCGGATAAACCATGGTATCGATTATTATTATTATATATATATACTAATATGGTGGTATCCTCCAAAGAGTGATCATCTGATACTTAAATGATACCCCACCAATTACACCAGTTAAACAGCGTAAATAGGGGGTCATTAATCCAGAGTTGACATTAATCTTCATCGGGCCCAGAGAGGAAAAACCAGGTAAAAGTGTGGGGTCAGCTGTAGGTCATGCAGTGGTGTGAGTGGCTGGATCCATCTGAATCCACAGGTTGGCATTCCATAGGAACTGGTGTTCCTCACGTCATGTGTGCATCCTATGCACTGCTTGTGAAAGCCACGAGACATAGTTGGATGATGGTACTGAAGGCTAGAACTTTGAACACAGCTTCCTGGTAGGCATTCGACGCCGTCAATGTTTAGCCATACACCTGAAAACAACATGCAAAAGAAAACAGGCTGATGATTTTTCGGAATGTCAACTCTCACTTCCAAGTGCTTTCGCATTTTGCAAGCCCGCATCCATCCATCCATCCATTCATCCATCCATCTATCTATCGATTTGTCTATCTATCCAACCAACCAACCGGCCATCTACCTCAAAACCTCTATACATTCTATGGTTGGTAGAGTCAATTCAACCCCCTTCAAATATCAGCCATTGTCAAACCACCAACCAGGATAATGATTGGTTATATCCCACCGTATCCCTATCCCCAGTTTGGAGGTGTTTAAACCCCATCTGAATATACTGTTCGGCAACTAAATGTGGCAATGGACACATTCCTGAACTAAGTGGAGGTTCATAGCTGGGAAAATCATCGAACGAAATGGTGGACTTTCCAGCGAGCAATGTTTGATTACCAAAGGACAAACTGTAAACAAATGTGGTAAACCTAATCATGAACCTTGCATCTAGGTATGTTTGATTACTATGATATACTCTTTTGAAGATCCAATGGCAAAACCCCATTTTAGATGGTTACACCATAGTTAATCCCATATATTGAATGCTTTCTCACCCCATATATAAGAAACCTTCACATATAGTCAAATGAGGTGGAACACCATTCAAAATATGGGGTTAACTATAGGTTTAACCATCACCCATGTTAGGAAACGCCTATATATATATATACACATACATTTACATGTGTATATATATATACACATAATACATATATATATATGTAAATTATATATACATATCTATCTATATATATATATATGTGTGTAATATAAATACATTTATATATATATATATATACGTATATACACAACAGGTTTTTGCCCATAGCCCATAGATCCTCTGACAGCAGCATCTGGCATGGCCTCCGCTCTACAGGCCCATGCCATCTCTTGAGAATTGCTGGCCTCCGGAACCCCAGTGAGGTCAGGGAGGGTTTCTGGGACCACTTTTTGGGGGTTGGAAATGGGTAGAACATTAGAAAATACATGGGTAGATAATTCATTGGGCGAATGAAGTAATGAATTCTTAGATGTTCTGAGTAGGCGGATGATTGAATCACTGACTGAGTTGATGTGACTTTTAATTTTATTGGTAAATGAGGGATTGGGACGCGATACCTATCTTCTATATTGACTTTTACAGTATTGAGTTTTGAGCTGCAAGTAGTGGACATGAGAAAATTAGTTTCTGATTCAGCGGGTCAGTGATTTTGCGGATCTGATGAACATGGCTAATGGTGATGATGATGAAGAAAATGTTGATGATGATGATCATGATGATGATCATGATGATGATGATGATGTTGATGATGATGATGTTGATGATGATGATGATGATGTTGATGTTGTTGTTGTTGATGATGATGGTGAATATGATGATGATGATGATGGTGATGATGATGATGGTGATGATGATGATGATGATGCTGGTGGCGATCATGATGTTGACAATCCCAAAGAAAACAATGGGCCACCCAGGCAACCTCATGGTCTGGTTGGTGGTGCAGGGACCAAATGTCAGCGAGTTAGGGCAAGGAGATGTTACGAATTGCCCAACGCATCGCCACAGGTTGCACCCCACCAGATCCAGCATTTCCACTCTTTGTCCCAAGCTGTGCTGTCACTGTGGGGGGTGAAACATGGGTGCCGCCCTGCGGCCCGGCGCCAGGCACCTTCATGGGTCGCGGTTGTTTTTGGGCGCAGAAAGACGCACTTGCGGTTGCAAATCTTCATCTGCAAACCAAGTACGGTTCCCAAACCCCCTGATGCATCATATGGCGAATATTGAACATACTTTTCGAGAAAACGTCGTGACAAATATTCGGCTTTGCTGTTGAAAGCGCCCAGTTTGTTCTTGTCATGTGACAAACAGTCAGGGTGTTTGTTAACATTCGCAAAATGGCTGAGAGACTCAGACTCAATGGTCTTCTCAGCTGGTCATGTTCCGACCATCTTCTTTTCCACTGTTGTTGCTTCTGATTTGCCCCCCTTAAAGAGGCAACATGCACAACCCCATGCAATCTCCATAAGATCCAACTAGTATTAGTAGCAATGCTTGTTTTTTCCCCACCTGCCAGGTGAGGGTTGTTAGATTTATCACAGTTGTTCTCCTCCTCCGCCTCCTCCTCCTCATCCTCCACCTCCTTCTCCTCCTCCTCCCTCTCCTCCAGCTTCTCCTCCACCACCTTTGCATCCACTCCCATGTTCACTTCCGCCTTGCCAACTCTTCGCCAAGCTCTTCGCCAACTTCCGCACGCAGCGGGAACTGCTGGACCTCAACTGCCAGGGTCTGAGCGCACTGGGCACCGCTGGACCTCAACCTGGGACCTTCCGAGCTCAGTGAGCACCGCTGGACCTCAACCTGGGACCCTCCGAGCTCAGTGAGCACCGCTGGACCTCAACCTGGGACCCTCCGAGCTCAGTGAGCACCGCTGGACCTCAACGGCCAGATAAAATGCCAGAAGATATGCCAGATAGAACGCCAGATAGAATGTCAGAAAGAATGTCAGATAGAATGCCAGAAGGTATGCCAGATCAAGTGCCAGAATGTTTGCCAGATAGAACGCAAAAAGATTTGCCAGATAGAATGCCAGAAGATATGCCAGATAGAATGCCAGAAGGTATGTCAGAAAGCATGTCAGATAGAATGCCAGAAGGTATGCCAGATAAGGTGCCAGAATGTTTGCCAGATAGAACGCAAAAAGATTTGCCAGATAGAATGCCAGATAGAATGTCAGAAGATATGCCAGATAGAGTGCCAGAAGATATGCCAGAACACATGCCAGAAGATATGCCAGGTAGAATGCCAGAAGGTATGCCCGATAGAATGCCAGAAGATATGCCAGATAAAGTGCCAGATAGAATGCCAGAAGATATGCCAGATAGAATGCCAGAAGGTATGTCAGATAGAATGTCAGATAGAATGCCAGAAGGTATGCCAGATAAGGTGCCAGAATGTTTTCCAGATTTTGCCAGATAGAACGCCAGAAGATTTGCCAGATAGAATGCCAGATGGAATGTCAGAAGATATGCCAGATATGCCAGAAGATATGACAGATAGAGTGCCAGAGGATATGCCAGAACATATTGCAGAAGATATGCCAGGTAGAATGCCAGAAGATATGCCAGATAGAATGCCAGAAGATATGCCAGATAGAATGCCAGAAGATATGCCAGATAAAATGCCAGAAGATATGCCAGATAGAATGCCAGAAGATATGCCAGAAGATATGTCAGATAGAATGCCAGAAGATTTGCCAGTAACAGAACGTATAGATGTCATGGTGGGGATAACTCGAAGTAAAGTAATTGTTGAGGCTTTAACCCGAAAGAAAACCATATCAAAACCCCAGAAATTCACAACTCTTCATCCCAACTCACGGCCCCAAAAGGCCCGTCATCCGGCCCGTCATCGCGCGATCATCTTGCGAAGGTTCCAGCCCACGAAGAGGCCGCTCATCCAGGAAGCCACCGCGATCATGGCCACCATCTTGATGGTTTTGTCATCCCAATGGAGGGGACATAATCCTGGATATGACATGAAGCACATGAAGCATACCAAAAAATGATGATGTGTGGTTGATTTAACTATAGGGTTCATGAAATGAAAAACGTGAGGATTGAAGACTTTGATTAAGTATGTTTGACAAATATGGGGATGCTTCCTTGATCCAATGGATGGATTATGTGACGCATTCTCTGGGAAGATGGATAATGAAGGAACAGACTGAACATTGTAGCTAACAAATTGGATAATGAGGGATCATCTAAACAAACAAGATCAAACAAGAAGGTTCCTACCAGAAGAAAAACATCGTTTTTTGTGAGAACACTGGTGGATGAAACATGATGCGACCAACAGAACTGATAGCTGAAACTGGTCCCCTCTGGCATACAATAATCCACCAACCCGCTCCCCTCAGTTTCACAGCCAGAAAGTCGGTAGAAGAGCGAATCGTCCGTGGAAGTCTTCTGCTGGACGCTTGCAACCTCCGTTGTGCTCCGTGGGTGTCACTTGCTGACAGCATGCGGGCATATTTGCAATACCAATTGCTGACAATTGATAACAAAAACAGGTTGACTCAGCTTTACTATCGGAATCAAAACGACAGAAATTCACCCCATTCTGTGAAGGTACTTCTAAGTCGGTGGCTAGTTGTTTCAAGGTTGAGAAGTGGTATGTCTGACCATCTTTCCTCATAAACCCCGCAGCTGTAAGTCCTGAATGCAGGGCCCAAGAACAAACGACGTAGACTGGGCCCAAAACCTCCCACTAATAATAATATTGAAAGATAATTACCCTCCAGTAAATTCACATAGACCTTGCCAGATTGGGGTTGGAAGATTAGTTTTCGCTAAAAATATGCTACTTTCGGTTCTTAATTTACCGGTAGTATCACACAATTCTCCCATGAGAACGCATGCCCCAAAATGCCCAGGCACCAAGCTCTTGCCCTTCATAAAACTGGACGACCCGTTGGCTCCATTGACTCCGTTGCTAGGGGCGCTGGCCGCGGAGGCCTCCGGTTTCTCGGGCATCTTGACGCCCGCCATGCCCATGATAGAAGCCATTGGACAGGTGCCTCGGTGACGGGAGTTGAGGTTGGGGTCCTGGATGACATCATTTTCCGTGTTGACATTGCCATTTGGCAGGGTTAAGTGCCCCGGTGGCGAATAGCAACACTGTGTTAAATTAATTTAATTACACACATATTATATATATATATACATATATATATATATAAATATACTTATTTATTTGTATACAATATATACATATACATGTACATGTACATGTACACATACATATACACATAGTACATGCATATTTTCATCCCAATGACTTAATCTCATTTGCTTCCCCTTGTACCACTCAGCTTTCCTGTTGTTGTTGTTCTTCTTCTTCTTGTTGTTGTTCTTCTTGTTGTTGTTGTTCTTGTTGTTGTTCTTCTTCTTGTTGCTGTTGTTCTTGTTGTTGTTGTTGTTGTTGGTGGTGGTGGTGGTGGTTGTTTATAATGATATATTGCCCCATTATGTTCCCATTTCATAGATAGTACATATGCCCGTAGTATCCCCACATATGCACACCATCAACCATCTGTTCATGTTCACTTGGCCATAAATCATGCTAAATCCTTACGTGCCATGGCGATATGTTTTTTGTATATCCCTGCAGTATGTCCATCCCAAATTCAATCCCCTTATAACATCCCATTGATGTGCGACACGCTATACATCCCCAACAAGAAATCGCCATGTTGACGGTTTATATGTCGATTGTGGTATCCCTAGATTTCCAACTCCCCGAAAAAGACACTTCACTACATGAAATATCCTAAGTTGCTCAATATGCCCCCCCAAAAATCATTCTCTAGGTGAAAGGTTTTCCTGGTATCAAATGTCCATCAATTTCCCATTTCCCCCAGGGCACCCCTTGGGCAGCCCTTGGGCACCTTGTTTCCCCGAGATGGGACATCGATCCTCGCCCTTCGCCTCTGACACTGCTTCCGGCGCCTTGGCGTTGCCGCGCTGCCGCAGGCCTTCCATGGCGATCTCCTCACCTGGGGCGGCCAAAAGTGCTGAAAACATGGTGAAAACATGGTGAAACAGTTGTAGTCATAGCACCACATGCCTTGATTCTGATTAGAATATGCATCCTATATTCTGATTCATATTGCACAATCCGAATCTGCAAGCCGAAATAGGAAGAAGTCAGGAAGTTGTAGAGCCTTAAATCAACAAAAGGCCGGGCCAGTCCCAGTCAATGGCTTTAACATCGCTGAGAGGGGGAAAACAAACACATGTTCGTCATTGCAGATCATCATCCTTCTTCTACGTGACGTAACTTTTATATACAGTTCACCCCCCCCTGGGGAAAAAAAACATGGTGAACCATGATTAAAAAAACACCAACCATCCACCAACCATCACCAGCTTAGATCGTTTCCCAGTCACTGGTCGCTTGCAACTTCCCGGCCAAAGGATACTTCTCCTTCAACCGATTCTGCCAGTTCTTCAGCGCCTCCTTCACGTGGCACCGATGCGCGTCGGAAGAGACGGTTTTTTAAAAATGTGGAGTTACACCGTTACACCTTGTAACCATATAGGAATATATGAGATGTAATCAAAATCCTTCCCAAATCACTAGGAATCAAGAATGACAAAATATAGTAGCATGGTTTTCAGTATAAGGGGAAGGGATTAATGTTGATCCCAGATCAAAACTCCCCGCCGTTGGTTCAATCGGAGATCCATCCAGAGCGAACCCAAGTCCCTATCAACCAACAAATGGCCATCTCCAACATTTCCCAACTGATTGGTTCATAACCAGCATTGCTCAAGAGTCAATAGTATTGTTCATTCAATTTCTGTTTGCTCAACGTTGAACATACCCGAACAGACTCATAATTAAGCATAGATTAAGGGATCTTGAATGGTCTATAAATGACTATATAAAGAACCTTCAACCATCTCCAAACATCATCGAGATTGGATTCTGGGTCCCACACAGCATCACGACATCTTTCCGAGCACATCTCATGGATATCGTGGCCTCATCCTCTGCCGAATCCGGGCTCCACTTCAAGTCATCCAGGTGTTCGGGTTCCTGACCAAACATAGGGTGGGGATCAGGTCATCATCGCAAGGATGGTTGAAAATGAGGAATGTTGTAATTATACAACTTATACAACTTGTACAACTTATGTATGTATATATATATTCGTTATATGCCAATGATACCGTATGTTGGAAGTCTATATTTTGAGGAGCTCCAATCATGTGAAATCCATTCAAATCCCATGAAAATCACATTATTGCCACATTGATGTGCAAGTTCAATTCGTATTCATGGGTTTCACTGAAAATATCGCACCTCATTCCATTCACAGCCCTCTCATCATGTTCTATTTGTTTCCCTATTAGAAGGAACCATTCGCATCATTTTCAGACAAACCCAACTATAATTGCCAGTTAAAAAATCCAAATGGAAGGTTCATTACCGCATTAATATAATATTAAGATACATGTATACCCTCCGGTAATCACGCATGGCTCGCTGGAAAGTGCACTACAGTTGATTTTCGTATTAGCACCTCCATTCTTAAGGGGATCTTCAATTCCCATTTCTAGCGGATGTTCCATTAGGAAAATACGCCAATCATCGACCCAGCAACTCCAAGAAGACGCAACATTCTAGTCATAAGTCATAAGCATATCCCAGTGAAATGTCCCAATTCTATATCCACCTGTTGATAGTTCAACAGTTCATTTCAAGATGTCTGATGAGAAACGGAAGGCTATCCTTCCTAGCCCCAGGATCCCAAGCCGGTGCCGAGGCTCCAAACTCATGGTGGCCAGGCACCTTGTGACATCGTGCCCCGCCAGCAGCGCGTAGCCGCCCTGGGGTCCGTACATCTCCCGCCCGGCGCTGACGTCCAGGAGCTCACCTGCCAGGGGGCCAGCGGACTTGGGAAAAACACAGGGCAAACCATGGGAAGAACATGGGCAAAAACATATCATTACTTCTTCTTTTTGGGGGGCAGGAAATGCGAAGAGGTGTCTTGGATGAGGAAATATGGGGATATAAAATAAAGGTATATGAAACATGTTGAGATAAAGCATCCCAGCCTCCCACAGACAGCAGGATGCGTCCTCCGTCCTGGCCGGTGTATCTCCGCAGCTGCTCCAGGGTCAAGTCCAACTGTTCGGGGCAGGGAGCGCAGGGCTTCGCTGTCTCCTTGCGCTTGCAGATGGGATGAAATCCCCAATGCTTCAAAATGTTCAAGAAATGCCAGGAAAGGGAACCCATGAAACATCCCTATGGGGGATTATTACACAAGTAGGGTATTATAGGGTTGTGTAGGGTTTAGAAGTGTTGAGCCCGAATGATAAAATTTGCCTCATCATGGGGTCTACTAGACACCATCTGGCGGCAGGCATCTGCAAACCCATTTTATCAAGTCTTCCGTCCATCCACCTTTCTGTCCGTCCATCCCTCCATCTGGTATATCTTTGCCCAAAAAGTCATCGAAGTCTGGAAATCTGCCAACTTTCGCTGCCCAACCAAATCCCCTGATCCGCTAAATTCTCCATACATTTGCCTAAAATTCACACAAAGCAATGTTCAGTCGGATGTTTGTCGGCATTCTGTTCCCAACTATGCAATGGACTCTTCAGAACGCACTTCATTTACTATTTTGGTGACTTTCCCTCAAAAGAATTGAACACAATTGAACCATATTCAACCATTCTATTTCGGCATATTCTTCCACTTCCATGCTTTCATGTTTTTTCTCATATCTTTTCCCATGCCCATCTCCAGCATCTGCAAAAAGTTCCCCACACATGTCCTGGCCATCTTGGGAGCTCTTGTAGCTGATACCCTGCACGGGATTCAGTTCAAAGACTTCGCTCATCATGGCTTCAGTATCCGCATAGATGCCTTGGGAAATATCTCAAGGGATTGGGAGAATTATATAAATGAGATGTTGGCTGGGGGTGGATCTTGCAAAAAATACTTGCAAATACCTGCTGTATCCGTTTGTCATGTTTTAAGATATTGAAGTTTTTTCTAGTGACCCCAAAATGATACTGTATAAATAAAAGCCATATATTTGTTTTTCAATTATTAAAGATTCTACATGCCCTCTGGTAATTAAACGTGGCTTGCTTGAGATCCACTATTTAGTTTGTTTTTTTCCCCAGAAATAAACCTCCATTTAGAGGGAAATTTCCAGCTAGCTATGTTTGATTACTCAGACGGTAGATGGATTCAAACCCCCATTGTTGATTCTTATCCCCCTCAAAACTCCATTAAATCCAATCAAAAACGACATCAAATGCCATTAAATTTAATTAATTATATATTAAATTCTGAAATCCTGTTGATAATGGTATCTTTCCCATTAAATCCCATCATAAACCATCATTAAATCACCATGTCGTTTTGGGAAGTGCTAGGCACTTCCAGCCGCCCACCGCAGCATCGCATCGAAGCACCGAGATACGCCTCATGACTTGCAACATCTCGCTGCGCTGATCCTCGCTGATCTCTAAGGTATCGAAGTCTTGGAGATATCCTGGGCCGCGTTTCAGTTAGCCTATTGTGATTGTTATTTGATAGAACCGTAATTATATGTAGGCTATAATATGGCTAATATAAATATATATATAATATATATAATATGATAGAAGATTAAACTATATGACGATTATTGATGATTTGTTGATAGTAACATGGGATATGACTGGAAGATTGAAGTCGCAAAGCTTGAGACATAGTGATAATGAACAAAGTTTCTGCACATCTTAGCAAAATGGTGATTTGGAGGCAAAAAGCTGGATATTTTGGATATGCACAATATGACAATATGGTATAGTTCGTGGAATATGATGGTATATTAGTGACTAGTACGGAGATTGGTAGCCAAGTCGGTTGGAGATAAATATCCTAATGCATGTTGATGGGAAAACTTGGGACTCGGATGCGAATGGGAATAACATAGGCATAGCGACATAGCATAGTAATGGAATACAATGGACAAGGCGGTGCCCCAGTCTGTTAGCAAAATGGTGATTTGACCAAACATTTGGATGATAATGGGGAATGAATGGAATAATAATGAATAATATAGGTATTTAGTGGAGTCCAATAGGATAGCAGTCGACTAAAAGGCACTGTTCCCCAGTTGTGTTTGTGGGTTTATGTTCTCCCCATTAACTACTCAGTTCAATATTTGATATATGATATGTCGTAAATAACATTTCTTGAAGTTACAGAAGTTACACTTATTTTAACATATTTTGAGCACGGAGCTTGCTAAACCACCAGTTTGTATAGAGTACCATGTCCAACTATTTGGGAAGAACACCGGATTAATAGTCAGAGTTTATGCCGTGGTTGATCTTCGGGAACCACCGATGGATCAATGGCTTTAAGGGAACTTCTTGACATTTTCGGTCCTCAATTCTCGTCGTGATCATCATCCCCTGGGGTTGAACAACTTGCACATACTTTTAGAAAATATGCTGCTTCAAACAGACCAACCTCCAAAGCATCTCACAAGAATTCACTTGTAGTAAATCCATGTAAATCCCAACATTTCGGTTGAACCCCCGGTTGTTCTAACCAAACATCCCCCATGACAGCTCGAGTGCCAAGGGTCTCTGCACCCGTTGCGGCTCCTTCCCCGAAACCGGCCCTTCGAAGGCGTAGAATTTCACGCCAGGAGCGCCGTGAGGAACACAGAGCTTCTCCTGGGGCTCCCAAAGGAGATGATCATAGATGATCTGGTGGATGGTGGGAATGGTCGGAATAGTGATGTCACCAACAAACTGTGGTGCCAATGGGGGAAATAATATGAAGTAATTACGTGACAAATTGAAATTGTGACATAGCTTGACAGAAGCAACTAAAGTAATGAAATAAATGAGTATGCAACTTTATAACCAACACGGTCTCCACCCAGTGACGGCCGGTGGTGAAGATTGATAGAACATACGTACGAACGACTGAGTCCTGACAGTCACGGTCTAGTGACTCTAGCGGGTGGGTCTCTTTTTCTCAAAATACATGACGAAAAGATACGAAAAGGCTGGGGTCTGGGGTTAGCTTATAACATGCTTAAAACAAACATCAACAAACATGGCCAGCTTGATGCAATTAGGGCTATGACGATGGGTAATCTTCCCAGGAATCTCCCGATGAACCGGGGACGATCTTGACTGTTTTGAGGATGCAAAGCAAAAATCTGGGAGGCCCAATAAAGCTACCAGTTTCAGATCGTATTTACCACCCATGTCTGGTGAATGTTGGGATGGTTTATTATTGGGTTCCGGTTGTTGGTTTCAACCCCTCTGAAAATTATGAGTTCGTCAGTTGGGGTTATGACATTCCCAATATATGGAAAGTCAAAAAATTCATGTTCCAAACCACCAACCAGGGTTTACCACACATTACTTCGAATTTGTGATGCCTTTCTCAGTCTGTCGCTGGGCATCCCACCATCATGGCTTGTCATCCACGACACATGTATGAGTTGATATAAGGCACCCTTGAAATACAATGACTTACATACAAAAAAAATAAATAACATCTGTGGATCCCAAAATGTTGAGATTGTTTGGATCAAACGCGCGAAACAAAATGAATTCCATGTGTTTCATTCACCTCGTTACGCGTTCAAGGAGGTAAACCCGCGCCAAGTCTCAGAGACCATCTTGGCCAGGTAAACCCCTCCGCTCAGCACGGCGTTGTACTGCAAAAAATGATGGGCCAACCTGGGTTGACTGTAACGCATGGCATTGTGAAGTGTAAACTTATGAAAGTTCAGAATCATAAATATGTATGCATAAATAAATATATGTACACAGATTATAATATATATATATATATGTATGTGTGTGTGTGAATGTTATATATAATAACATAGACCCGGGCAAGCCGGCGGCGGAAGTTTCCCAAACATAAATGACCTATAGTTCAAAGACAACCTGTCCCGACCGTGTCCTTCCCTCGACACTCCACACCTCACACTGCACACTGCACTCTTCGCACTCCAAACTTCACACTTCTCACTCCACACTTCACACTCCACACTTCTCACTTCTCACTGCTTCCTTCACACTCCAAACCTCACACTTCACACTTCACACTGCACACTTCACACTTCACAGTCCACACTTCACACTTCACACTTCACAGTCCACACTTCACACTTCGCACTTCACAGTCCACACTTCTCACTTCGCACTTCACACTTCACACTTCACACTCCACATTTCACACTTCTCACTTCTCACTGCTTCCTTCACACTCCAAACTTCACACTTCACACTTCTCACTTCGCACTTCACACTCCACACTTCACACTCCAAACTTCACACTTCACACTTCTCACTTCGCACTTCACACTCCTCACTGCTTCCTTCACACTCCTAACTTCACACTTCTCACTTCGCACTTCACGCTCCACACTTCACAGTCCACACTTCACACTTCTCACTTCTCACTGCTTCCTTTCCACTCCAAACTTCACACTCCAAACTTCACACTTCACACTTCTCACTTCGCACTTCACACTCCACACTTCACTCACACTTCACACTTCACAGTCCACACTTCACACTTCTCACTGCTTCCTTCACGCTCCAAACCTCACACTTCACACTTCACACTTCACACTGCGCTCTTCGCACTCCACACTTAAACTTCACACTCCACACTTCACGCCCCACACGTCCAACTGCTCTAAACTTACGTGCAACAAAAAAACTAGCGCCAAAATGGAGAAAATCATAGGGCTTTGGGTCTGATGTCTGAAAAATCAAGATGAAGCCCACGAACCCGAATGCTCACACGTATGTTGAAGATAACGGTGATAAAGTATCGATTATGATAAGAAATGAAAATGTCAATGTTCAAACCTATCGTAGAACAGTGGAACAACACCATTGCTCCGAATCTGTTTTCTCTCCGCGACAGCAGCACTGGCGTCGCAACGCAGTGGCGCGCGGCAAGCAGCGCCTTCCAAGACATGGAAGCCATGCGAGACGAACGTATCACACATGAAATGTCTTGTGATGGCAATCACATGCGTCGATGCAACAAGATAAAATATATGGATCAACGAACCAGAAAGTATCGGAAACGTGTTGAAACATCCTGTAGTGGCGCCAAGCACGCTCGATGCCTCCACGGCACTGGTGTTGCAAAGCTGCATCGCGACGCAGTCATCACCTGCCAGAACACGAGCCAGACGAGGCACAGTTGTAGCTGACGAATCATTTTATGAGTTAACGAAACAGCATCTTGACGAAGACACTTCAATAACGATTGGGTGGGATAACGAAACAACACAAACAAAAAGGAAAATAAGAACGGCTCTTGTTGATCTGTCCAACAAAATCATATCATCTTCAGATTGCAAAAGGAACAGGGACTTCTTTCTGCCATTGCCGACGGCTGAAACACATCCTGGGAGCTGCTCAGCAACAGCGAGGACAGCGCCACCAGCTGTCGCTCTATAGACAACCATACAGATTTCGGTCATGTCCAACTTCTCACCAAGACAACGGAGTCACCAACGCCAGCTGTCTTTCTGTACTGTATCCATATGTATATATACACATATTAATGATTTCTAATCACATGAATGAAGACAACTTAATCAAACCCATACCAGCATGACCATACCGCAAAGCTCAAGTCGGCTGCGGACATCACCACCGGACCATCGGTGGAATACCCATTGCCTCCGCAGCGACGCCAGCTGGGGCGCTCCATAGGCAGCGCCGTGAAGAACAACCCGATGCAGCAAGTATCACCTTCCAAAGCGTGCGAGCCACGCGATGCATGCATATCAAACATGAACCATGGTTAATGCAGTCGCCATCCAGATTGCCAACAGATTGCTATAACAAATGTTGTTATCAACGACATCATACTTACATGCTTGCAGTATTTTCACAAACATCCATACATGCGAGCATGAGCAGCAACTGAATCGCATCCGCCTGCACTGATATTCCAGAGCTATGTTGACTGCACAGTCCAAGCACCTTCTTGTTCGCTAGTGAATCATTTTCTAGCCATCAATTGAAAGTTGCCATCATGAACCCACAGCGCGACATGTACGGCCATTCTGATCATACCAATAACAAAAAATATCCTTCGGTGAGATTTTGACCTGTCAGCCCAACAAAGCGAAGCAACTGTTCTGCCACAGTATGCGCCGCAACGGCGCTGAAGCGAGCATGCTGCCGGTGCTCATGCAAGCACGCAGCTCCTGTTTCCCAGTGCCTGGAAGCAAGCAACAGCGTGAAACAAAAAGCCGCCGTCAAGTGGTGACGACAAGCAGTGCATTGAGACTCATCAAGTCACAGCGACAAGCAACGCGTCGACACTTTATTTTTATCTATCACACGTGCGAAACGGTCTATATTGTTCTCAGCTATGACACTAGCTTTCTACTCCTGTTGTCATCAACTATAGGTCACAATCGGTCACAACATCTGTGCTTGCAGCGACGCCCACGAACGACTGGATCACCGCGTCGAACTCTTTCTCCGCAGCTGCCAGCGCACGCAAGCGTGCTCTCCTGCCCCAGAAAGTAGGTAGCGGATACAAAGATGCACGCAAGAGCTTCCCCTCGTCCGCACCATCTTGCTGCGCTCTGAAAGCCTTCCTCCCCCGAACAGAGACCCTGCACCAAAACTCCGCCTCATATTGCCGAGTCAGGTCTTTCACGAGATATTTCACTTCACTGGGAGATTCGACGGAGAAGCTGTACTGCACACATTCTTCACCGGCGACCTCACAGCGTCCTTTCTTGATGCCATCCAGCCATGGCAATAATGGAATAGAACATTTTGGCGTAGCGGCTGCAGCTCCGGCTTCCCATGTGGACGATTCCGAGTCGGGGACATCGCCACCTGGCCTCGCAGCGGATGAAGGACGATGACCTGTTGTCATGCCTTCAGCGACTTGAGGTGCAAAATACAACTAGTCGCAGCCAGTTTCAAAGCGTTGCAACATGTCACTACCACCAACACAACATGGAGCGAACAAACGCCCAGCCATCCCAGCTCATCCTCTAAATCACAATGCACAACCAAGCTGTACTATATCCGCAGCAGCAGCATCATGCAGCATCCACAGTCTGTTTCCGCGACACTAACAGTTCGCATCAATTTATATGGGCATCAATTTTGAATATGCATCCGTGCATGTCACATGAACGGCAACATCGCCGCCAGACTTCTAACAGAATGGTATGCTGTACTTTACATGCAGCAATATCACAACAACCGCTGCCTCGGGAAAAGCAGCATCCTTCCCAGCGCCAAACAGTCTCTGCGATGCTCGCCACCTCCCGACCAGCACGCACCGTGCGATCCACAGATGTCAAACAACAGAAAAAATGCTTTCATGTCAAGATATGCAACACACCAACAAAGACAAAGACATCACAATTTGCAGCTGGCGAGTGTTGCTGCTACAGTATTGTCAACGAACACCATGATGCGCTGGCGATCGACGATACAACTTCCCGTGCCTCTGCAGTATCGCCACCACCAGCGCGTCCCAAAGGCAGCACAGTGCAGCAAGCATCACCTTCCCAAACATGCAAGCACGGCAATGTGCAGATGTCAATGAAACAGGTTAACCGTCGCATGCCAACCATGTTAGATGTCGCATTTAAAAACACATCCAATCTGTTCTAACAACACATCGTGCACGTCCAACAATACAAAGCGGCACCCACCTTGCAATGAAAATGGACACGGATGTTCCCAAGCTTGTCTGCCATGCGTGACTGAGTTGGTCCTACCCTGCCTCCAGACGAGGCAGCTGTCGCTAAATGTGACTTTATCAATCCAAACACGCAATCGATGCATGCACAAAACTTTCTAACACTTTGTAGAAATCTTATCGGGTGCACGGAGCTTTGCTGCTCATATGCATTGGGATCGGATGCAGACGAATGGCTTTGGCCGGCTGTTACCAAGATTAGATGATACTCACCGGGCGGTGTGCATTGCAGTCTCTAAGTTGGGTCCTACCCCGCCTCCAAGCGAGGCAGCAATCGCTAAGTGTGACTTTCTCAATCCAAACACGCAATCGATGAATTTCCAAAACTTTCCAACACTTTGTACAAATCCTATCGGGTGCACGGAGCTTTGCTGCTCGGATGCATTGGGGTCGGATGCTGTCCAATGGCTTTGGTCGGCTGCACGTTACCAAAATTAGATGATACTCTCCGGACAGTATGCATTGCGGTCTCTCAGTTATTCGAAACACCACCGGAGAATAGAAACCACGGCCAAGCATTCGGATGTTGCCAAGCTTGTCTATCATGCATCAATGACTGAGTTGGTCCTACCCCGCCTCCAGACGTGCCAAAGGATATCGATGGAAATGGAAGAAAAGAAGAACACGAACACCACCAGAGACATGTTCAAGATGGCGCTTGCGGTCGAGTATATGAAGGGGATCCATGCAGTTGGACCCATGCAGTTTGTGAAGCGCACAATGTCATGGATCGATGGCACATCCAGTCGAAAAAAGTGGTTTGTCAGAAAGGAGTCAAACCATTGAACGCACTCAAAGCAGTACAAAATCTGCTCAGAGAATTTCAGCGGCCATATTGCATGAGCTCTTTGCGGAGAAGAAACACTCTGGCATCTCGACCCGGAACACACCGGTCCCAAATCCACACCCCAGACAATCCAAGGAAGATGCACGGCAGGAGAATGCAGATGAAGAGCAGGAAAAACAG